TCAACCGTTTATTCAAAGGATGAGGAAAGCCCCATCCACAAATAGGCGCGGCCGCCTTTCTAGTCTTTACATTTTTCGGGGTGGATCATTTTAGTGGTTTGACTCGTATCGCGCGAGGCTTTCCCTTCAAAGCGAAGCGCAGGGTGCAGCCATCCTTCGACTCTCTACCAGCGCAGCCGAGCACGCCCACGCCGGTTGTGCCGGGCACACTGCACTCGAGTCCTTCTGTTCAAGCTTCGGTCGACTAACTTCGAGCCCCGCGAATGAGCCAAGGGGAAACTCCTTCACAGGGCTTCAAAGAGCTTTCGCAGCAGAAGGACGGAGCCGTCGATGTCATGCAGCTTCAACACAGACCTCCCTCAAGTCTAACCTCTTCCCCTTTTGAGAAAGCCCCCGCCGGGCACTAAACCAACTCCAACTCTATCCCAGCAGGTTTGTTGCCGACCCACTCGTAGGTCATTTCTCCAAAAGCGTGGCTTCAGCGTTTCCGTTGAGAATCCTCACTTCGCAAATTTTCGATCTTGGCGAATGATTCGCCTGGCAAAGAGGGGCTCGAGCCCATGTTGCACAGGTACCGAAGCGGGAAATCTATGGACCCGTTTGGTTTTCTTCCTGTCCCAGAGTGAGACTTATTGTGTTTTCTCTGGCGGCGGGTGGGACGGAATTTGTGACATTTGTGATTGGGGGAAGAGAAGCGACTGCATGCATGCTCGACAGCCTGCATTTCGACTCATATCAGCGTAGCGTTTTAGACTTAGATTGCCCACCACGGAATTTCAAGTCCAGCCATGTTTTCCGCCTCAAGCGTTGGCTTGCAGAGCAGCATGATTTGATTCAGCAGATGGTCCACCAAGTGGATGTACTGCCAAACAAGTGCTGCATCAAGCCTTGACCACTTGCGCTCAAGGCTAATTTATTTTCCATGCACAGGCTGCAGCCTTGTCTCATGCTCATGATTTTCCATGTTGATGTTCTGGCCCTGGTATCTTCCCTCATCAGGTCACCCAAGTCTTGTAGGTGAAAGGGAAGCTGCCCAAGTTTCAAGCTTTAATCCCCATTGAAAACAAATCACCGAACTTCGACCAGAGCTGTCCGACCAGGACACCGTTGATAAAGTGGTTGGCTTTATTGGTTTCAGTTGCCTTAGTTGCCTTTGCAGGCTTCCGGGTGTTTCTCAAAAATAGGAGTCTTGGTCTGAAACCAAACAGGTGTCCAGCGCCGCATTTTGAGAAACTCCCTCACCGGACCCGATATTGCGAGCGGTGCAGGAGGCACTGTCTGGCATGCGACCCGCATGCCAGTTTAGGTATTCCTCAGCACTGCTGCTTGAAAAGCTGTGGGGGTGCGTTTGCAATTCTCAAACAAGTGTTTTACTCGGCAGTGATTTCTGCAAATGAGCGCTCGGCTGAGTTTGGGCAGGAAGGGACACTATTGAACGGACAGCTGCGAAACTGCATGTGCATGGCTCAGGGCAAGCGAGTCAGCGGTCTGCTCAGTTTGCTCAACATACTGTGGATGGAGGAAATCCGTTTTTGAAACCAGGGTTGAGACTATTGCTTGTTGGTATTTACAGGGGAATCGAATCCGAAACCGGGAGTTTCTTGGGTGGTGCGGGAAATGGATTTCGCAATGAGAGCGCGTTTTGCCCGTCATTCTGGCCCGATAGCTTCAGATCAGAGCTCAGGTTCATGCTAGAGACCCATGTTCGACATGTCCGATGGACAGACTTCACGTGCGCGGAAAGATGGTGGCAGCATGTCTCCGGGTCGGGTAAAGCTGAACAGTTCGATGTCAAGGAGCAGTGGGGAGCCAACAGATCTTGCGCGATCTTGAGCTGACACATGCCCTGCCCCGGAAGTTTTGCAGGTGTGGAAACTGGTTGTGTAGGTCTCCAGTCAGTGTCTAGGGAACCATGGTGGGCCTGGAGGGCTTTGAGGACGGTCTTTTTCTGAATAGGGGAGTTGGAAGTTCGTTGTATCCACGACCATATGGTGGATACAACAAAGCAAACGACCCTTAGTCTTTAATTGCACATTGCCAACTCTACATGCAGTATTGCCGAGACTTGTCTCAGATTCCCAGTACTCAATTTCCAAGACTTAGTCTCAGCCGATTTTGTTTATGGTCAGTTGAACATTGAGCATTGCGCAGATTCATCACAGATTGTCAGTATTCAATTTAGCATTGCCAACTCCAAGTCTCAGATTCCAAGTTGCCAAGACTTAGTCTCAGTTTTGGCAAGTCCAACTTAGTATTGCCAGTACTGAATTGAGTATTGCCAAGACTTAGTCTCAGATTCCCAGTATTTAATTTTGGCAAGTCTAAATTTAGTATTGCCCAGATTTTGGTCCCAGATTCCAGGCGCGTAATTTTGTTTTGCCAATTAGTCTCCGACCCTAGGTCTCAGATACACCACTATTTGAAAGTAAAGGCCAAGGCTCTGATCTTCAACACGCACCCTGGCACAAAAAAAACAAACATTGCTTGCCATTAAAGCGGACCTCGAAACAGTCAGCTGTCACGCGTATCAGCTCTTGCGGGCATCCCCTGTCTTACTGTTTGGACTCGCCTTTTTTTCTCGCCCGAAACTCATTTTCAAAATCACGGTATTGGGGACCACTTGCGCAACAGAAATTCCTAGATCCAAGGCCCTGAGCCTGTGAGCTTGGGAGGGCTTAGATATGCCACCTGTTGTTGTTTTTTTGACGGGTTCTCTTCGGGGGATTCTGAATTAGGCATCTTCCAATTGGCCAGCCAGTCTAGTCACCGGAAATCGCGGGGCATCGACTGGCTACAACGGGAGGCAGCTCAACATAATCTTATTGTTTACACATAGCAACACTGATTAGTTAAGCTAGTTAAGGGAAACTTCCCTAGAGTTCATGAGGGACAGTATACCTTCAGGCTTGGAGTTTGCGAGGGAGTCTTCCACGCGCGCCCAACTCAGGGAAAATGATGACACGCTGGAACAAGCGGAGATCAAAAGGCGGATCCAGGAGCTGCAGGCTTGCCAGTGTTTGTGGGGCATAAGCTTTAATGTCCCGCGTTCGTCAGCAAACGTTGGCGCATATTGAGAGGCTATGCTTGCTTTCTGCAAGTTTGGACACTGGTTGCTTGGGTCTCCAGCGCAGTATACAAGGAACCACGGTAGTCATTTGACGGCTCTCAGGAAAAATCTCCATTGGGGAGTTGGAAGTTTGTTTGACAGGCCCTGCCCCTTTTGCGACAGATCAAAATCGAATGCCGGCTCCGCCGCGTTGCCAGGAGCCGGCATGAAATCGACTTCCCGGACCTCCAGCGGGTCGCTTCCTTGTTTTTTGTTTGCAGGGGGTTTCCGTGTAACAATTTAGGTTGCGATTCTATAAGGCACTTTTTATGATTTAGGTTGCAATTCTATAAAACAACTCTCTATCATTCAGGTTGCAGTTCTATGAATGAAGAATGTTCTATGACTTTGGTGTCAACGCTGTGAAGGACTTTCTATGGTTTATGTTGCAATTCTATAAAGCATGTTCTATGATTCAGGTTGCAACTCTACACAGGGCGTTTTATGATTTAGGTTGCAATTCTATAAGCCACTTTCTATGATTTAGGTCGCAATTCTGCAGCCAATTTCTCATATTTAGGTTGCTGTCTATAAAGCACTTTGTGTGATATAGGTTGCAAATCTATAAAGAAGTGTCTATGGTTTAGGTTGCAGTTCTATAAAGCACGTTCTTTGATTTAGGACGGAGTTCTATGAAGAACTTTCTATGATTTAGGTCGCAATTCCATAAACAATGTCTATGGCTGAGGTTGCAGTTCGAAAAACGCTTTCTATGATTCGGTCGCAACTCTCGACGTGGATCATGGGCGGGGGCCGAGCATATAAGTATATATATATATGTGTATATATATATATATGTATATGTGTGTTTCCGGGTGCCCTTTGGTCGGAAAACCAAAAGCAAACCGTGCAAAAAGCATGTTCAGGGTTAGAGACAAACCCATGTTTCCTCTGATTTGAAATGACACCTTCGACCATCTCTGAGTTTCCCTTGGTAGGGTGATGTTTTAAGCGGACGTGTAGGTCCCGATTGAGAAAACATGAGCAAAGGGCTGACTCCCGATGAATGCCTTCCCGGTTTGCCTATGTCGACCATTGGCTGTCGGAGATTCAATGCTTGCCCACGAGATGGATGCAGTTTTAGCTCATTCCCTGGATTCCTGGACTGTAAACTTGCTGGGAAGACTACTTGTTGTGATAGATAACATGTTCATATTTTGTTTGGCCCATCCCCTCGGGAAGTGAGTTAAGGGCTTCTTTGATGAATGCCGAACACCGCTTACAAAGATGGTTCCTTGCTGTTGCCGATGCTGCAAGAGTCCGTGACTGAAGTGCGTTGAAGAGAGTAGGGGGACTTGCAGGCACCATGTCACAAAACAGACATTGTCAAAACACAGACGCGCACACACGCAAACCCGACCAACAGGCACATACACACAAACACAAAGACGTAATCACAAAAACATACACAATCACACGCAAGCACAAGACGTAAACACACAAATATACACAGGCACACAGACAAGCACCAATACAAGCGCCAGCACACACACAAACAAAACCACATACACGAACACAAGCACCAACTCACGCACAATCAAGCAATCGAACGAACAAATGTAAGCACTCTGATACAAACACTAACAAAAACAAACACCGACAAACAAACGAGCAAACAATCAAACAAACAAACGCACGCACCCTGACACAAACACAAGCACAAACGCACAGACACAAGCAAGCACAAATTGGAACACTCGATGCATGTAAGGTGCTAGACGTCGTTGCTTACGCCCTTTTGTTTGTCTCCTCTCGCCTTTTGCAGAGGGCAGCCACTGAAGCAGTGCACAAGAAGTTTGTGTGCCTGATTTGTGTAATGAAAAGAGGAGGCTGCTTCCAAGTCGGCCTGCTAGCTTTGGAGAAGTGGTGAAACCTGACGCCAAACAATCGCAAGGTACTGGAGCCTCATTATCGGCATTGCCCGGCTGATCATTCTGAACCACTTGATCGCTTGCTGCTGGTACGGCTTGTCCCGGCTACAAGACCCCACCAACAACTGGGTGGCGTCTAACTCGCTGAGTGACAGCAGCCCATTCCACCAGTACGCGGTGTGCATGAATTGGGCCTTTGCACAGCTGGGCACCTCAGCTGCAGTTTTGGGCATCCCTCGTGTTTTCCCAGTTGCCCGGTGGATTCCGCCCTTTTTTCCCTTTTCTTTTCTGGGAAGGGTTCCCCTTAAACTCAGCCAACCAAAAAAGGATGCCCTTTTTGTCCACCTGGCCACTGGGCATCTGAGTTTTCCTCTGTGTTTATCTTTGCGCATTGCAGAATGCGCTGGAGTCGTGCATCCACACTGATGGGCAAGTTCGACCACATGTTTGTGGGGTGAGTGTTGATACTTCATGCTGAGGGTCTAGCGGCAGTTTTGCCCAGAGGTCCTTCCTGATCTGCGGCTTTGGCTGAGGTGTTGGCTTGTCGGACATCACGCCGAACACAACTCTGGAGACCTGGTTCTCGGTGCTCATTGCTTTCAGGCAGGAACTACACGTACACTTCCCAGACGAACATGGAAGCTCCCAGGATCCTTTTGGAAGACTTGGTTCCATGTACAGAGGCCTTCTGGGAGCTTCCATGCTAGTCTGACGGAGTGTAAGAGCTAGCTTCAGCCGGCAACTCGAATCGTCTGCAACTCGCTTCTTCAAAGCGACACCAATAGGCTGGGAGCAGTGGCCCAAAGTAGCACTTGCTGCCTAAGGTCATTTTATTGACAGCGCTCTTGCAGTGCCTATGGTTCCTTAGTGTGTTGAATTGATAGCAAAGCTACACACTGCCCGACACCAATCAACCTGTTCTGGAACTCGGCTGAAGGGGACATGTGTTTCACAAGATGATGGCGTATACACCTCGTTTCTTGGTCATCTTTTAGTGAAGAGCTACATGCTGACATGGAGATTGTGGATTAGCAATCTTTGAGAGGGATTTGGCCGTGGATATGGTTTCTGGATGTTTCTGAGTTCCTGAGCACTTCCCGAGAAGTTCTTGAGAAGCTCCTGAAAACCTCAAGAAAGGACCCCATGGCCGCCTAAGCTAGTGACCTCAGCACATTGGGCCTGTCATGCTGATTGTATGTTGGTTTCCTCGAGGATAACCTGCACTTTGCCTAAAAATGAGAAACAAAAACACTCTGGAACCAAAAACACATACAAAATGGCAGACACGGCCCCCTAAGCTAGGGATCTCAGCACATGGGGCCTGTTATTTTGTCGTTGTGTGTTTGCTTGCTTGGTTTTCTCGAGGTTGTTTGCATTTTTTTGGTTGGGGCGGATTGGGGTCAGCAAGATGAAACATTTCCCTGCGAAAGGAAACACACTGCAAAAATGCAGCCTGGGCATGTTGCCTGCTAACCACAGTCGAATCAGTTCCAATTTAACTAGAAGAAACTGCCAGCCTGTCTTTAAAACTTTACTTTCCAGATTCTATCTAGATTATAACTCAACTCTACTTAAAATTCTAGATACTTGGAAAGGACATCCTATTTAAAGTCTGATTCAATATACTAATTAGACTTGATTTACTTAAAATACACCATCAGCGTGTCTTTGTTTGCTAGATTCTAGTTTCATGTAGTAATACAAATTGCAAGCTAAATTAGATTTAGGTTCCAATCACAATCCTGTTTGGAAAGGAAGTCCTATTCAGAATTGGAAGGAATTCCTGTTTACAACATGCTTCAAAAGAAACATGACTAATTAATTTCTACTTGATCTCATATTTGGGCAAACTCCTATTTAACATCTTTCTAGTTGCAATCCTACGTGGAAGGGACACACCTGAATTGAATTCTATTCAAATTCCCTTTGAATGTACAGCTTCGCAATGTGAAACTTGCAAACCAATTGGACTCTGCACTTTTCCATGGATGTTTTACACCGTTTAAGGGGCTTGCAAATCACAAGAAGCAACAAGCTTCTTGTTCCTTGAAATGTGAGATTCAAGCCCAATGAACATTATGCTTGGAAAGGAACACTCATTTAGATTCCACTTCACAATACAGTGTTGAATTGACGTCCAATTAAGATATGAATTAAGCTTAAATAGTTGCAATCTACAGCTTGCAAACAAGAGAGAACAGAAATTGTATTCTCCTGGAGCTTCTACTGGTTTGTCGCTCCTTTAGGACATTAGAAGAAACCACCAGCTTGTCTGCAACAGGAAGGAAAAGCAACATGCTAAGAGGAGTGCAGCTTCTCTGGCTTGACAGGGCAGCAGGCACCCAACTGCTCTATAATAGCTCTGATGCTGCTTGAAATGCAATTATTTGTCAGATTTCATTGTTCTCATTTGTTAGAATTCATTGTTCTCAAACACTCAGGCAATCAAAAAGGCAAACGCATATGCAACTCTCGGCAATGGGGATGTTTTGGTGATTCAACTGGGAATTGGAGCATGTGCATCAGATCCACAGCCATCCCAGAGTCCGAGGAGCCAAAACCAAAGGACCGGGCAAGATTCAGGCTGTACAACCTTAACGCAGGGGATGCTAAACCTAAGGCTCCACGAGGCCTAGACATGCTCTAGCGTTTTGCGGCAAAAGCAGCACACCGGCGGAATCTTCCGGGTTTTTGGGATCAGATTTTGAGCCCTGCAGGCGTGGGAACAAGCCAGTTCCTGAGGATGCCCTATTGTTGACCCAGGAGACCCCCTCCATAGGTGTCCTTTTTAGGTTAGTTTGGTTAAACATAGATGGCACTGGCTTAGATGGCTTTTATTCCATTCACCAGGGCCATCTATTTTTGCAAAAGGCCACCTATGCCCCCTGCAAAGTACACCCTCTGGTGGATTTACACCTGCCGGTCTAAACGACTGTACGATTCCGGGCTGAATCTCTGTTCTTGGCTAGTCACATTTACCAAAAAGCTTCTGACCGGTCCATCAGACCCTGCCGATTTTCAACGAATCCTTGCAAAGCGGATCCGGGTCTCCCGGATCGAGTCCAGTCTGAGATCGCTGCGCCGCTTCGCGAGGTCGTTAATCACCTGCACGTCGCTGATCAGTCGCATGACGTCTTTGCTCACAGCCCTGATCAAAACCAAGGAGGAGACCGCAGTCGACACGGGTATATAAGCAAAGCTTGGACAGTCGCAGCCACAACACACGCAAATATGTTGCCTCTTAGTTTGTTGCATGGTTTTGCAGCCCCCCGATCAAAACAAAAAAATAAGTAGATAAATTAAAAAGGGATTCGGGCGGTTGACCCCTGTAGTTGTGACCAACAAAAAACATGGCCACCCCTTGGCTCGAAGTGCAACCTATTTGAGTTGTTTGGGTGAGCTATGGAACCTAACTGGAAACTGCAAAGCATGTGGTCCTCTGAGAATATGGCAAAGGCAATTCTTGGCCTCAAGGCCGAGCAGTTACGCACTGAGGAGCACATCTAGATTTCTTGTCCGATCAAGGATTTGCGTTTGTTTCTTTTCTATTGTTTTTTTGTTTTTGTGTGTGCGTGTTCTGTATCAGGTCTCCAACTTTCCGCAGGGAGCTTCCTGACTGAAGTTTCCACTGACAAGGCAATTGCTTGAACGACAAGGCCAGTTTTGCTTGTGGGGTGTTGGCGATTATTCGGAACCGAGAGCCTCAATCACAATCATACCTCTCTCACCTGCGCACGCACACACTTACGCACATAAGCAAACACGCACGCCACTGAAGCAACGCACGTACGCACCCGCACCCACCTTGCCGCGCTCACTCGCACCCACAGGGCGCTCAGCACAGGACGAAGAGCGCGAGTTCCGTCTTCTGCGGACCTACCTGACCTGCAACGAGATCCCGCAGAGTTTAGCCCAGAAAGTCACCCGCTTCTTGCAACACCAGTTCACTCTTCGGATTCAAGCCGCTCGGCCCGGAGAACAGGTTTCGGCTGGACCAGCCCCGCTTCTCACATTGCCCGGGCTCAACCGCTTCCATTGGGAGGGTGAATCATGCTGCGCAGGTTGAAGTGTGGTCGTTCTCACAAACGGCCAGCACCACGCCATGAGTAATCCCCTTGTGTCAATCATGGGCTAAGACTGGCCATGTTGTTAGTGGTGCAACTGGTTCCATCGCGACATGAAACCAGCAACACTGAATCTGCTTTCCAGTGTATCGCTGAAACTACAAGCGCCACACCTTGTTTTGGCAACCTTCGGCAAATAATGACCCCTGTAAACCCGCGGCCCTTCTTGGGGGATATGCAATCGCAATGGCTTTGGGTGCTTGATGTGTTCCAGGCCAAATCTGCGGACGTGCATGTGCCCCTCTTGGAGTTGTTGTCCACGCAGCTGCAGGCGTTCGGCGTTCGGCAAAATTGGGCAGACATGAAATTCAGGGGGCCTGGGAAAACAGGAGATCAACTTTACACTTCAGTGTTCCTCTCCAACCGCTTATTCGTCATATTGAAGCCTTTCTGACTTTTGGGCTCAAAATTGCTGTCAACAGTCGACAGCCTGAATGGGTCAATGTATCCAACCATTCTTTGATTTGACTTTTGGCCATGCTTCTCTTTGTGCATGGGGGAAAAATGCACAGGAAGCCATCCGCCTCAAGAAATTGGTCCGCTTGAACCCAGGGTTGCGGGATCAAGGGGTTTCTCCCCACTTCTGGGATACAAGGGAATCCCCCTTTATATTAACTTTGGGAAGCCCTGTTTGTGGTATCACAGTGGTCATTCCCCACAGCCCTGCGAGGGAATCCATTGAATCGCCAGGGCGAGCTCCAGTTTGCCCGGTTTCGCGCCTCGCTCTTAAAGCTGGAGTTCCTGGACCACCTGCTGGACGAATCCACGGACTTCGAATCGGATCGATCGCTGGGTGCCGCATTGAGCTGGTCTCAAACTTGACTCGGTCCCCCCAGCCAGGTGCCAACTTTTACCGTTCTTTTTTGGGGGAGATTCGGTTCCCCCACTAAAATTGACTACAGAAAAAAATGGTACCCTTATTCTTACCTCTCTACTGGAGGACCTAGTTGAAAAACCCGCAAGAAGGGTGGTGTCCAGTTGGTGTCCCTTGAATGCCCGAGCAGTAACTGAACAGTACTCCGACCGATACCCTTCAACACGAATCCTTGCCAAGCCCTGCCAAGCCTTTTCTTCTGGCATTGGCGCCTAGCTGCTGGCGCAAGGAAAAGCAGTTTTGCAAAATGTTGTAGAAATATACCGGCAAACACAAAGTCGGACCCTCTAAAGGATATGACTCATGAGAGCTGCACCAAATAGCGCAGCACTCATGTTATATACATATATTGATCCACATGTACGCCTGAATATCTAGACATGCTACATACGCCGTCACTTCATAGCGCCCAAGCTTTCAGCAGTGGGGTCTGTTTCGTTGGTGTGGAGCGGGCTATGTTTCTCACACATAGCAGATCTTGACGTGCTTGTCACAGGATCTTGACGTTTGTTTTTGCAGAACCCGGAGGGTGCAAATATATATATATATATATATATACAGTATATTATATACATGTATACACATATACATATGCATACACATGTGTATATATATATATATATATTGTATTCATCGCACGCCTTTTCTTGGTGATCCAGCGATCCAGCCTCGGGAGCCAGAAGCCGTCTAGGACCTACAGCTGATGTACGCCATGCAGGAGCTTTCCACCAAGGCCTTGGTAAGTCTCCCAGTTGCCTCCGGCGACATGATCTTCATCGGCGGCAACCCAGCACGCCACATGTACCTGATCATCCAAGGGGAGTTCACCTACTACCATGAGAAGGGACGGGCTACTCAGCTACATGGAAGGCTCGATCGATCCCTGAGTCAGATGTTTTCGCCGTTGGGCAGTTGGGCCGCTTTTGGAACATGGGTCTTTCTCGAGATTGGAAGCGGCCCCCTGTCCTTTTGGGCTTACCTTTGAACAGGGGTTACCCGAATGCCATTTTGAGAACCTCCCACATTCCGAGCTTGGACGTGCTCCACCAAGGGGATGCTGGATGGGGAGGCTGGCTGGATAGCAGAAATGGCGCTCTGGACTCCCTGGGTGTACTTGGGTGACCTCGTGGCCAAGGAGAGTTGTGCTTTGTGAGCCAAAGTTGAGGGTCGCCATCAGCTTCTGTAGCGTGCTGCGTCTGTATATATATATATATATGTTTAGATTTTTTTTGTTTTATTGCGTGTGGCGTGTTTTGTTGTGTTGTGTGGATATATTGCGTGTGTGTTGTGTGTGTGTGCGCGCGTTGTTGGGTATGGAGGTGTGGTCTGTGTATGTGTGTGTGTGTGTGTTGTGAATGTTGACTGGCTGGTTGGTTGGTTGAATCAGCTGCTGACGCGTGTTGTGGATGGCTTCAATCCTGAAAACTTGCTGCAAGAACTATCACACGCGAAGTAACGGTGTCCGTCACAGTGGCCGCGCTTGTGTTTTGTCCTTACCAATGTAGCTAGGCATTTAAATGTAGAATGCCCTCATGTTCCAAAGTAGCCGGAACCTAAACAGATTGTGATGTTCCTTTCGGTTTCCTAAAGGTGAGCACAAACCCGCCAAGAGATGTCCACCTAAGGGTCCCCACAAGTGAATTCCCCTGTCAGCTGGGAGGCTTCTTTGAGCTGCGGAGATGAAAGGAATTCAACCGATCTGGGCGAATACCAAGCTCGCCTCTGGAAAACAACTAGATCAGCCATGATGAAGGTCCCTTGTGAATTGTAGCAGTTTGCTCTGGTTCAATCTGGCGAAACACGTGTTTCGCAACATTGAGAAAGTGTCTCCCAACCCTGTAGCAGGTGTGGTAGTTTCTCAAAGTATTGGATTCCCAATTTTGGTTGGTACTTAAACTCCAGAAGGGTATCTGAAAGGAAGCGAACAGGTTTTTGACGGGGAAGCCAAAAGGACCCAACCATTTTAGGGCACAGTTCATTTTTGTAGAGAGCTTCCTTACGTTGAGGACGTGGCACGCATTGTTTCCATGGATGCGAGCATCTTCGGCAAGATCGTGAGCCAGTGCCAGCCAGCAAAGGACAGGGCGTTGTCAACACAGGATTCCCAAAAATGGTGTCTATGGAGGTCCAAAATAGTGGTCCCCTCAAAATGGGTTGTGTCTTTTGGCCAAAGAGGTCCACCATTTGCATTTGGGCATGGGTCAAAATTGGGGAACCCGTCCGCAAAATGGCCGGTGTTCCGCTGGTTTCTCTTTAAACTCAGGTAGAACAGCCACCCTCAAAAGACGCGGATCCATGTGAGCCGCTTCCTTCTCTTGGTCGGGCTGGGCATGGACATCGATCCCAAAATTAGCTAGCACAATCCCCCATTCCAGTCCCATTTCCTGGTGGAAATCTCCAATTATTTGTGCGAGTGGCATTGGATGCTATCTGATAGTTCAGTAGTTTAATTTGGACAAGTCGGGTAAAGGTTCCTTTTCAGAAGGGACCTCTGGCTAGCTGACAACATCGGTCCGGCAATTCGGCGCGTTGGGGAAACCAGCGCTGGCGAAAATCAGTTCATGGAATTCGACATCTTGAAAGACGAGTTCTCAGAGTGGACAAGTTGTTGGTACTCAAAGGAAACCAAAAGGACCACTCCCTAGTTCAGGGGCCCGATTCCCACTTTGAGAACCCAGATGATTCTGATTAATTATTTGAGCTGCATTACAATCCTGCTCACGTCCGTTTTGCGATGTTTGCAAGTTTGAGCTTGGCCTATGTACGCTCGCCAGTCTGCGAGTGGTTCGTTGCTGCAGGACTTTGCGAAAGAGTACTCTCGGCATTTCATCGCGGGGATGCGAAGGAAGAAGTGCCCGAAGGGTTGGAGTGGCCAAGGCTGTTCTGAATTCTTGCTATTGGTCCGCCCTCTCAGTGATCTCGGGGTTGAAGAACCTGGCTGTTGCATTTTGTAGGTTGCTTGGCTGGACAGGCACTATAGACTGGCAGGAGTGTGTTTGTGTGTGTGTGTGTTTGTGTGTGTGTGTGTGTGTGCGTGTGTCTGTGTGTGTGCGCGTGTCTTTGTATGTGTTTGGCTGTGCGGGCGTTTGGTCGGGGATTCCGTTTGTGCGCGTGTTGCCCTATGTACTGCTTTTGCCACCTGCACTTGCTTGCACGTTTTCCTGCGCGTGCAGACGAAGGCTTCTTGTATTCACTGTGACTGTGAATCCTTTGCCTTGCCGCAGATCTTGAGGCCGTCCAAGTTCTACAGGCCCGCTTATCTTATTTCAGCGCATTAGGATTCCTCCGGGCGACCTCGAAGTTTCAGCTGTCTCCACTTGTGCAAGCGAAGATGTTCGATGCCTAGCTTTGTGAGACCGGCCACGCCGAAGATATCGACCTGGCTGTACAGAGTCTGATTGCCAGGATCTGGGTGAATTATGACGACCTCACACGACCTCATCCCAAATGGTGGTTTATGTGCGGAATAGCCCCCCAACCACCTTATTTCAGCCTGGTGAAATATGATAATGCACCCAGCAGGATGGACCTTTTTTCATGCCCTCTGCTGTGACCCAGCTACTGGAAAGTAATTTTGCCAGTAAGCCACTCCAAGCTGCAACACATAGCAGCGCATTGCTCGGAGCTACTGACGGACAAAATCCTGAACCACTTTGAAACCATGATATCCATTGTTTGTTGGTATTTACAGGGGGAATCATCATTAAGTGGTTAGTATCAATTGGCGAGCGCAGGTACTGGACGGACTTGGTTCACGATCAGGCAGATGAGGCGCTTCAAGCGTTGTCAAAAAAGCATCGAAAGCTCACTTTGGATACCCATAACACAGTCATGTGATTTCAGGAGGTTGTGGCCGTGTTCATCCACTTTGCTATCGCTGAATCTTTGGAACGCAAGTTTGTATTGCCTGGATAGGGCAGTGCAACTGCAGAGCGTGCTGCGAAATGCAGTGGATATGGACAAAACCCATTTCGGACCACGAAATGAAACCATGGGAAATCATCGTTTGCTATTATTTACAGGGGGATTCATCATTCCAGGGTTTCTTGAGTGGTGCTACACGGATTTCGCGCTTTCACAGTAGGTTGCTTTCATCTAGGATCAGGCTTTGGATGCATGCTGTCGTGTCTTGGGTGCCAAGCAGGCTGATATCAGGTCGGGATGTTGCAGGCGATGTATGATGTCTGTCTCGTGCGCCGCCCAAGCCTTCAGGTGGATGGAATGCATCAACTTAAGCCAACCAGATGCAAACTTCAACGGGTTTGTAGAACAAAAGGTGCCAATATTTCGCGACGCGATGAAGTTGTGAGAGAAAGACATGAGAGCAGTTGACAATGGTTGCAGCAGCGGAGTTGTTCATGTGTTTTGGTGTGTGCTTTTGTTTGCACTGGTTTAGCATTTCGGAGAGAGCTGATCCATCGTCAACCCCCGGAGTCAAAGTCAGGGGAGGCCGGGAGGCCTTCCCAATTCGGGAGGCTTCTCCATCGCCAGGAAAGCTCCACTGGTGAAGTCATAGGGCTTCAGTCCATCGTTAAGCCCAAGTCGGTGGCGGCATCGTGCTGCAAGTGGTGGCGACATCGTCGGAAACGGGTCGCAGTCGAGGGCAAGTGAAGGCGCGGCATGCACGCGGATGAGGCTAAAAGCGCAGAAGCTTGACTTGGGAACGTGGAGCTGCTATTTCAGAGGTCATTAGTTTCACTGTTTCTGGGGGTTATCAAAGTCAGGGAATGGGGTTGTTTCCCTTTAACCCACCACTAAGGAGTGACTTGATCATGGTAGAATAACGAGGCCAGTATTTCGACGCTCATGTTTCACTTTTAGTCTGTTGTGAGAGAAAGAGAGAGGAGAGAAAGACTAAGAAACCCCCTTGTGAGCATGACTTGCACGTGCATTTAATCTCTTTTTGGTCTTGCAAGACCTGGCAGCCAGTTCCAGCTTCACTTCAATGGGACGTGAGAGTCAAAACTGTCCGCATCCTGCTAAGCGATTGGACGCACCATTCCATGGGTGGTCAGTGTATCACATGTTTGTTGCATCCGCTTCCTCTACTTTATCCTCTTTATCCTCTTCCTTATCCTTGTCATCAGCCGCATGCTCATCCTCCTCCCGCTTCTCCTCTTCATCCTCTTCATCCACTTTGTCCTTCGTCCTTGTACTGTTCAACCTCTTCATCCTCTTCATCCTTTTCATTCTCTTCATCCTCATCCTCTTCATCCTTCTTCTCGTTCCTCATTGTCATCATCTTCATCTTCATTCTCATCATATTAATATTCTTTCTTATCCTTGTCCTCGCTCGGCCTTATCCTCTTGAGCCTCGTTAGCCTCTTCATCCTCTTCATCCTCATCCTCGTCCTCGGCCTCATCCTTCTCATCCTTTCCCTTTTTGTCCTCAGCATCAGCATCAGCATCAGCATCATCGTCGCCGTCATCGTCACCCTTCACCCTCATCGTCATTGTCACCATCATATTCCTTGTCCTTGTCCTTGGCCCCATCCTTTTCCTTCTCCTCCTCCTTTACATCCTCTTCATCATTTTCCTCCTCTTCATCCGCTTCATCCACTTCATCTTCCTTATCATTCTGGACACGTATATTTCATCTTCATACTCATTATCCTCGTGAGCCCAAGCGCTCACCCCGCAAGGCCAACGGAGAAGTTTCTGCCGCATGGCATCAGAGCTTCGTGCCGCTTTGCACGGCGTGCTCAGCTGCTTTGGAGTACCTCAGCCACTTCATGGACTTTGACACTGGTTTTCATGGGCACCGGATCGCTGTGGTACAAATTGATGGCGTGGCTCGGCGAAGTTGGTCCCACAGCTATTGTTATGTATTTGCCCAAGGGAGATTGTCACTGGGACCATACTTCGTCTATTCTTGCAGCCATGGAGATTTTAAAGGCTAAAGGCGTTTCTCTCTTCAAGAGCAGTTGCTTCCATTCATCCATTCAGGGATTTCCGGTTGCTGATTGTGAATAGCATGGTGGCTCCTGTTTTGCCTTGGAAGCATTCGTCGCCAATAGCTGAGCCGCAGAATCCATATCTCAAATGAGATCTTCGACCGCCGGGCGAAAACCGCCTAGCGGCTTGCCGTGGCATGGCCCGGCTGATTGAGTCACATCCTGTGGCTGGTTGAATGGCTTAGCATTTGAGAAAACGGGGAGGATTCGGGTGGAGTCCCCATGATTCCCCGCAGATGTGTAGCCATCCTTCTTTTCGATCAGGTGTGGTTTTTGGGTGTGTAATGTTCTGGAAAGAAGGATCCCTGAGAAGTCGTTGGCTCGCAGAAGCTTCTGCGTGTGTGTTAGTGCGTGTGACATTCAAGTGTTTACCACAGGAAAGCAAGCAACCAGCTGGTAAAGCCGGCAGCGACGTTGCGCAGAGAAGTGATATTTTTACATGAGGTTGATCAACATGTCCTTTGGGATGACCATTGGGGAAAATCACTGGACAACAATACGGTATGTCCCGCTACATGAGAAAATATGACCCTGTCCCACATGACCCCGGGTCATGTGGGGGGCGAAGGGCATATTGATCAACCCACACATGTGTTGGGCATTGCTACCTTGGTTGTGGCATATGCTACTTTGAATATCACTACATCAGAGGGTGAAAAGGAGATCGGGTTTGGGTGGGATGTCGGGCGGGCAATTCCTGAAGGTGCCTACATTTGTGGGAAGTACGTCGAACATGTGGAGAAACGTATGATCAATGCAACTTCAGACAGGTAGACTCTAAACAGAAACGCAGTGTGGCCACCTACGCAGACGAGAGTTGGTAAGCCAGAAGCTTGTAATGCTTACATGTGCACATACAGACGCTTTCCACCCGAAGCAGCATGTTCGATTGACGCGGCAACTCTTTCAAAGATAATTATGCTTGCACTTGCCTCAAGCCTGGCTTGAATCACATTGAAAGGGGTTGTCTCAAAATTAGGGAGCCCCCAAAATGGTTGATGTCCTTTGGTTTTGCTTTGAGCCCATCCAAACAGGATTGCCCCCGACAAAGACGCCCCAAGACAGAAACCTTAGTGTTCAATACCGCAAGTATCAGTCAAAGGGTCGCCCCAAAGCTCATAGTCATTTAAGGCACATGCATGCTTGCTGCGTTTACCAGGTTTGGGTCACATTTTCTTGGATGATAATTTTCATTGCGAGCGTGTCAGTTGTGCTGTGGGCTGAATGGTCCATACTGCATGCCCAAGCCTGCTTGTGTGAGAATGGGTTTGCGACTTGGCTTTGGTGTGACCTTATCGCCCCTTTTCGACCTTTGGACGCATTTTTGGTGCGTTTCCTCCTACACAGGTCTAAGGAGCAAAACACTTGTTGGGGCGGAGCGAGCACTTCACAGCGCCACCACTTGCGAGTCGGGCTCTGGGCGGGCAATGCCAAGATAGGCGTAGTACCCGTAGCCCATGGAGGAAAATCCACGAGGTCTCTTCTGGGAGCTACATCAGAGATTGGCAGATTGCCACCTGGACACGTGGCACCCGGTTTTCTCCTTCTTGTTTTTTGTTCTCCCCGAATGCATAGCAGAAGGGTTCCCGTTTTAGCAAGGTGTTTGGGGGTCAGGTCGGAGTAGCACTTTGCAGGCTCCATGCTGTCTTCGACAGAAGACCTGTAGCGGGCAAGAGCTTCCAGCGTTTGCTCGTTTCCGGTGCTGGTGCACCAACACTGTAGAATCCAGTGCATGATGTGGTCCGCTGACCTGACAAGAGCTGGCTGCGCCGCTGCTTTTTCCAGCCGCGCGGCCATGCACTCAACGCGCTGGTCGCTTCCAACTAAAGCTGTCCTGGCCCGGCTTGCTCTATGCAGAGTGGCACGACGTCTCGACTCTGGAACGCAAAGCCAAAAGGCCTTTGCTGAGAAGCGCCGCAGTGATGTGTTTTCCGCGAGCGCGCCGGGCCAGCTCCACGTACTTCCTAGTCCAGCGGATGAGCCGCTCGCGATCACATGCCCTTGTTAGCTTGAACTGACAAAGTTCTTCTGCGGTGGACTCCGGGGGCCCCGGCTGCATTTGACACCAAGTTGCAGACAAAAAGGAATCCGTATCAGCAAAACAGCTTGCTCAGACAGCAATCGACCCGGATGCCCCCCAAACCTCCGGGTGTTGCTGCGTCTCAGCGTCGTAGAGCCGCCTTCCTGCTTCACAGGGGCAGCGCCCAGCTAACACCGGCAGATTCTTTTCTGGCGAAACACCTTCTTGGCAGAAGTGCGAAGCACCCCCTGTCGCTCAGCTTGATCACTTCTCCAAAAGAAAATTGTTTGCGATGTTGTAGACATTGGTTCTTCTTGTTCTTGCCCTTGGTGGCCGCATATGCTATTCACACCCTTCGTTTGTGCCGCGCTGCTGCTCACCGGCTTGGCGACCGCTCAGATATCTGCTCCTGTCATTTTTCACTGTCCGCTTCATGGCCTCCCCACGGCCCATCCAAAAATGAGAAGCGCAGTCGTTTTGTTCAGTCCCCGCCCCAGAAGGGGTCCTTCCGTTGCGCGATTTCCGCCGCAGGGCCTCCGAGCGTGATGGAATTAAAACCATACACTACAGCCTGCGCACAATGTAGAAGATGCCGCGGTTGCACAGAAATGTGCGCTTGTTTAGTGTATTGTTGTTGTTGTTGTTGTTGTTGCTTTTGCAGCCCATGGAACCGCAAACCTTTCATGGCATAAGGGGGTTGGTGCGTATTTGTTGGTGGGTTGGAAGGGCTTGGGTTTTTCGAAGGAAAGGGGTATCTGGTTGGGTTTCTGAGGCTATGCACATGACCTGGGACTGCATGGCGGCGTGCAGTCAGTTGGCTTCGCTGCACATGGCTCGGCGAAGCAGAGTCGCCGTAAGCTTTCCGCAACAGGCGCAATTTGGATTGCAGGGGTTCAGGTAGTGGGCGAGTCGCACCTGAGGCACTATTTGCCCAGCGTCGCAGAGAAGCGGGAAGTTGTGATCAAGACATTACTAGACACACAGACACGAGGGACGCACAGTCTGGATTAGCAGATTTGGTTCATAGTTTTCTTTTTGAAAGCACCTTGTTTAAGGAATCAGCAAAGAATAATTATCACACAGGTAATGCGTAGCGGGAGGGTGGTCCACCTCCTGCCTTCCGCTGGTGCGTGAATAGAAAGCCTTTGTGCCACCACTTTGTTTTCTACGGGAGTCTGCAAATCTGCTCAAGGAATCCCAGTGGCCCAGGGGTGCCTGTTTTTTGTTTTTTGTTTTTTTGGAAGGGTGCCCCTTTAAAGTCAACCAACCAAGAAAGGATGTCCTTTTTTCCCATGGCCACTGGGCACTTGAGGAACAGTCCAGCTGAAGGACTTACTCTCACCAATGTTGAGCTCGCCCCCCACCGGTGCTACCGAAGACGCAGGTGCTTTGGCCTCATTTCGACTCGGACAGGGGCGAACGCAGCACTTTGCACGTTCCGAGAAGGGGACAAAGACCCCAGAGTAGTGTGGTTGGGCATGGTTCTCCCTTGCGTTTTCCATTGGGGTTGGGAATTCTTCAAGACAGTCGCGGCGAATCTGGTGGCTTGTTTGAGTAGGTGTCGGATGCAGTTTGGGCTGTTCTTGTCGGCTCCTTTGGCCCAGGCAAAAGGAGAACTTGGGCAAATGCACATCTGCGCGGACCGTCTCCGTGGACAAGGGTTGGTCAGCCGAAAATTGAGCAGTTGCGTTCGGTGTAAGGGCGTTTGAGCAAATGTTGGTTTTCTGTTGAGACAGTCCCATGTCGGTCAGTAAGAAGCACTTCCAACCTGAAGTCGATCCGCCCGCCCTCTTGATTTCGCACATGTGGGATGGACCCCTTTAGGGCCCGGTTTTGATGTCGACCCTGTTGCTGTTTGCAAGCAGTGTCTGTATAGATGCTTGCGGGCACCCATCAGAGGGCCCGTTTCAAGGGATCTACTAAGCGGGTTTCGATAAACGAGTACACTTCTTTCGCATCCGAAAAGAACCCATGTGTTACAGCCCTATATGAGCAGTCCCTTTTTTTAGTCTCCCCAGGACGCACTGGCGCAGTTTGACCTTGCTGAACCGGAATGGCCATCGACTTCACCGAAAACAAAGGGAGCGGGCAGCGTCTTGGCTGAAATGGTCAATCCGGGGGTAAAATGAGGTGTTTTTTTGCGGGATTCCTGAATATGTCATGTTTTAATTGTCATTTTCCCGGAGGTATTAAGGTTCACATTCGTTCACATTGGACAGTTCTCTTGCTCGCTTTTGGGTGTTCTTCCTTTAAGTATGTTGCAACGGGCGTGCTTTGTGAATATTCGCATAGTTGGTATGTCCAAGCTATGCTTCAGGCACCTTGCAAAAGGTGCGGAGAAATTGGTATTGTGTGTCAAAATAGGGGGACCCCCAACAAACATAAAGGAGTACACTCCAAAAAGCACACCCAAATGTGTCCCTGAAACGCATCCGTTCAACACCTTTGGATCACCTCGAGAAGATAGATATTCGGTGCATTAAAAAAGCGAGGCTGTACTGCGAGCAGACTGGCGCCTACCACTGATAGTATGCCTTTTTCTGCTTGATGTGTTCCTGCAACAGAGATTTTTTGCAACGGATACGTGTGGGTATGGATCGAAAGGTCCTTTCAAGGACTCACAACTTGGACCGTTGTTTGGTGCCCGCAACAGATCCGCGAAGTCTGCCAAAGAAATGCGGGTGTGTTTGTTTTGTTTTGTTTTTTTCTCCGCGAAATATTTAGCAGCACTCCTGTACCCATTTGCAGGCCCCGCTGCCTTCTATGTATCTTTACACGTAGACACACATCTCATGGACAAATATATGTATAGAAATGTGTACACAAAGTGAGAGACACGAAAAATCTGAAACTGTTCGAGACACATGTTTGCAATGCGCTGGCAGGAGTTGTGACCATACACGCTGCTAATAAGCTTGGCGACCTGCCGCCCCTTTTGGCGTTCTACTTTTTTTGGAGAGCTGAACACTTCATGAACCAATGATTAGATTCATCAAAAGAACTTTAACCAGAAACTTCCGTAGTGCTGCTTGAGCTGCATGAGGTTGGCTCTTTCTCAGAAATGCATGCGTTGCTCCTGAAACAGGTAGGAAAGACAAGAACCCTTTGTGCACTTTGGGCAAGTCGGCCCTCAAAGCATCGTGGTGTTTTTACGACCGCAGACTTGCGGGAGGGGGGGGGTCGACCGAAAAAGAAAAGTCAAAAGAAAAGACAAAACTAGTCTTGTTTTGCGTTTTTCAGCTTGCCAACTATGAAAAGCTGAACGCTCTGCGGACTTTTGGTGGGTCGAACTCGAACAAGTTCGTGTTGTGTTGTGGTTTTGCACTTCGCCTGCAGAACCCTCTGCAAACTTTCAGGGGGTCAGTCTGAAAAAAACTCGGTTGTCTTTTTGCATGCGTTCACTTTCGCGAGCTTTAGGGGAGAGAGGGAGCGAGAGCGGGAAATAAAAGAAGAAAGAAAGAACAGATAGAAGGAAAGAAATAAATACAGAAAGAAAATACATAAAGATAAAAGTCAAGAAAGAAATAAAGAAAGAAAGAAAGAGAAGAAGGATAATAAATCACTGTTTTAATAAACAGAAACATAACAAATATAGGCAGCAGGAAAGAGAGAAAGAAAGAAAGAAAGAAAGAAAGAAAGAAAGAAAGAAAGAAAGAAAGAAAGAAAGAGAGAGAGAGAGAGAGACAGAAAGAAGAAAAGAAGAAAGAAATAAATAAAGAAAGAAAAATGAAAGACAGACAGACAGACAGAGGAAGAGAAAGAGGAAGATGATGCTACGGAGAGAGGGAAACAGGACCATGAAACGAGAATGCGAAAGAGAAGAAAGGAGAAGGAGAAAGAGAAAGAGGAAGAGAAGAGAAAGATAAATCGCAGGAGAACGAGAAAGGGGAACAGACATAGGAAGAGAGACAGGGAAAACAAGAAGAGAGTGGGGAAGGGAAACAAGAAGAGAAAAAGAGAGAGAGAGAGAGAGATCAGATAGGGAGACAAGGGGAAAAGAAGCGTCCTCCAAGCTATGGTTGTCATATTTTAAAGTTTCCTCCCTCCGTCTCGTTTTTTTTGCTGGAACACAATCCCTAAGAACCAACTGTTTAAATATGGTTCTGAGTTTTTGCTGAAGAAGATCAATTTTGATGTTGGTGAAGCGCAACTGGTTTGCAACAATGTCAGGGTGGCATCTAGCTTATGTGTTCATCTTGTCATCCTTTCATTACCCCACCTCGTTTGCATGTGTTGAGAAATACAACACTTTCTGCCAGCGAACCTCCGGGTCCGGGGCCGGAGTCCTAGCAACGCAACCAGACTTTTGGAGGGCGGATGTGAAACCCAAGGGCTGCAACAGTTCATGCTGCACGGGGCGTTTTTCGCACCGCCTGGAACCTGGTCTTGGCAGTTTGCGTCCTTCACGACTTGATCGTGGTTCCGCTTCAAGCTCCTTGTCGGCAGGGCGCAGCTGGTGCAAGGGGCCCGGGAACCTCCACCTTCCGCAGAAACTGCCGATGAATCTAGGGGCAAACTCGTGTGGTTGCCAAGCTTGAAGGGCGTGTCCCAGCGAACCTGGACAGCCCAAATTGGCGGTTGAGCGTTTTTAAAACACTCTACCGCAGGAAAAAAAGAAGTCGAGCGTTTGTTCGGCAGCTGAAGCGTGCACGAGCGTTTTCCGTGTTTGCTAGCTTAAACTTGAGACTGCTAAGCGCGCCCATTTGGCTAACTGCACGGAGTGTAGCGACAACACACCGCCTGCGCCAGCAAAGCCAAGCGCACAAACTTTCAAGGATGTGCCTATAATCACAAGTTGGCACTCTTCTATTTTGGGAGCGCAAGCTACCACGTGCTCAGTACTGCGGGACGCACAACAGAGCATCAATCATGCTACGCGTGTCTCGTGGCAAGTAATGCAAACAATCCCTCAAATATACTGATTGTTGGATCAACGTGGGCAAATAACTATGCCGCCACAAAGGTTTGTAATTTTGTGTCCAGACAGCACACCTCGATCCACAGAATTATCAACATGCAAACGTTTAAGCAAAGGTTTAATCCTGCCGAAGTTCACAAACATATCAACAAGCTACTTGCGTGCGTTGGCAAACAAAAACTGCACACCTGTTTTTACGGGCGTTCATATGCCTAAACAAGACCAAAAGGTTCGTCCTCATATATATATATATAATCACGCATCCTTTGCATGAATGTTGCACCTATAGATACGCAAACGTCCATGCAAGCGTGTTGTCAAAAAAAGCCGCTCTCTTTGTCCACGCAAGGCCTCGTTTCAGGGCATACCTTCGCGCCCAGTTTGTCATGTAAGTGGATCCGTGGCAGGCAGCCGCAATGTTTCGGGTCTTGCCCATAAAATCCTCATCGCAAAAATTGCTGAGGGTCTGCGGATTGAAGTGGCTTTGAGCCACCCAATCAGTGATGTGACAAAAGTAGTGCGTTTTTGGGCGCACTTTGTACAAGAGCCTGCGGTCACGCATGCACTTCACCGACAGCCATTGGTAGGCAGTGGAGTGCAATTTGCAGAGCCACACTGAGACCACGGTTTCCTCAACGCTGAGCACACACAGAGTTGACTTGTTCCAGATGGACAAGGCAACGTCCAAGGCCCAAAAACAAACGGCTCGCGCTTTCGCGTGTGGCAAAATGTCCAGGGGCACATGACGTGGGTGTGCAAGGCGCGTCATCAAAAACACGCAAAAGGCAAATAATGTTCTGGTTTTGGCAGCTTTGACACGCGAGGACAGCTCAGGATATGGCCAACGAGAGTGCTCATGCCTTCCAAGCGCAGCTGAAGTCAAAGTGCCGATGCGCAACTCCATGCTGTTGTCATTTGCCCAGCGTTGGGCGTGAAAGCTCACCACGCACAGCACCTCGTCAACAGTTGCTGCGGCAGGCATCCCGTAGAACTTGCGCAGCGACCCTTCCTCGAACACGTCAAAGAGCATAGACGCAATTTGGTCGCGCAGCACGCCTGAGTGTACCACATGCATGAGGTCAAGCAGCCGTCTATCTTTCTGAAAATCTGCAATTTGACACCAAGGCGAAGGATCGTTGTGGTCCGTCATTGTGAGCGTGTGTTTCCATAAAGCGTTCGCTGTAAGGTCACCCCAGGACAGCTCAGGAGCACGCAGGTCTGCAGTGCACATGCAAAAGTCGCAGCATCGGCTGCATCGATACCACCGTCTCCCGCGTTGAAGTAAATGCGCCGTCATGTGTGCCTCCATGTCACCCTTCCAGAAAGCAAATTCCTGGGCACGCTTCAATTTTCAAAACGCTACACATAAACACCCTCACAAATCAATAGCCGACACACAAAGTTGCACACCTTGTTCAAACTTTGGATGGTCTAGGAAAGTGCGTGAATCGGTAGACACATTTCAAACATCGCTGCAAGTGACCGCCTTCGCTAGTTGCGCATGAAGTTACACAAACTGCTCAAACTTCCAAGGAACTTAAACAAAACTCTCTTGGCAGTAGACACGTTGCAAACATAGACAAGCGACTGCCTTCACTGGCATCTGTTTGCCAGCTAGCTTTGCTCTAGCGGACCCGGGCTTGTGAGGTTCGCCATTCTCATCGAGGGCGTCCCACTGCCCTTTTTTGATTTGCTGCAAGTCCCAGGCAATGACTTTGCAAATGGCAGACCTGGTGGCATCAACAAGGAGAGAAGTACCAAGGATTGCCACGCACTGCCTTGTAATCCACGAGTCACCGCGGACGCACCCAGATGACCAGCTATAGACCGTGGCTGTCTCTCCTTCGGGGCCAGAATTTGCTCCAGCCAAAAGTTAATGCATAGGTGACGCATCTAAACGCAGGGAGCTGCACTCCATTAATGTGAGCAACGCTTGTCAGTGTGTGCCCGAACGCACGCCTAGCTTATGCCTGCACATGTTTGCGCAACACGAAAATTCCAACATGCAACGTCGCCATTTGCAAATTTCCCGCCCCTCCTGTGAAATGTGGAACTGCGTCTTCATGAAAAATCAAAGGTACTGCAAATGGATCCACATCACGGCCAGCTGCGTGCCAGAGCATTCCAAAATTGTTTCCCAAACATTCCTCAAACACAGCCGGGCCAGCTTTGT